AAATTTTTTACATAACAGTTAACTGATATCGGCGATTTGCGACAATCAGAACATCTTATTTTCATAGTGGTATCTTCATTGTTTAAATTTCTAAGTCATTTGTTGTTGCTTAAAAATTTACAGTAACCAATGTTGATAACAAATATAATGGTCATAAAAGAAAATATGGCAAAGTAGTATTGTTGTACACTTCAGGTGTCTGTCTTACAGTTTTGCAGGGAAAAGGGTACATTTAGTATTTGTTTGTATATTTTGTTAAGAACAACTGTCATTCTTCTTATGCAAATTTTACAATAAATGATCCCAAAATGTTAACTTATTTCAGATCCAACAAGTAACGGTGTGAGACAAAGGCGTACACAAGAAGATGGAGATATTGATGCTGTGTTAAAACAACAACGGAAAGTTCAGGAAAGACTAGCAGAAGAATTACTCAGCCATACTCTAAACCTAAAAGACTTTGCAGTAGCCTCAAGTTCTATTGTTAAAAAAGATATAGAGGTAAGACTACGTAACAGTCGTCTCTTTTTTTTGACCCCCTGAATGTCTTGAATGGATTTGACCAGATTCTATCTTTAGACCTGTCCATTATAAATTTTGGGGTATCAAGCTGCAATGTAGAGCATGGTCAGATTGCTTGAATGTGCAGGTTGGTCTGTCTCTGTACTGTTGGGGAAGGCTGATAACTTAAGGTTCCAGGGTACTGGTTAATTTTCACCATTATCCTGCTTGGTTTATGCATTTGATTTAGCTGGATTTGAACTTTAAAATGTCCAGTTAATAGATTATGGGAGTTCATTAGCAAAATAAATTAAATGGATAATTTTTGCATTAGAATCTGGTTAGGTTGTTCAGATGTCTGACAGATCTAAATTTACATATTTTCACATCACCTTAACCACAAAACAGTTACTTTACTTCTTTTAAATATATAGATTCATGTATCTATCCATATTATGAAGTAAAGTTGGAGTTCATATACATTGAAATGATGTTATGATAAAATATAACAGGATCTCACTTATTTCAGCATTGTATATAAAAAGCAATATGTCATGTCTTACATCCAAGAAATCATGTTTCATGATTAGATAATAATGAATTCAATATTCAGAAGCTTAACCCATACAGACACAGTTCTATCTAGAAATCAGAGTACTAGATAAGTATTGTGGTTTATTTTAGATACTGAAATACACATGTATACATGTATATATTTACATGTATAATATTAACATCATGGTTTACTTTAATTTAGAATATTGATTTCATCAGGTAAATGATTTGCTATGTTTAATAGTGTTTAAAACATATATACATGTATATATTTCCATAGTTACATAACATTATGATTTTTTTACGCCCGTTTGAAAAACGGGACGTATTATGGGAACGCCCCTGGCAGGCGGGCGGGCGGGCGGGCGGGATCGGGGGGGCTTCCCTCTCGTCCAATTTTGTCCGGAGCATATCTCCTACATGCATGGAGGGATTTGAATGAAACTTCATAGAAATGTTCACACTAATGAGGAGCAGTGTCGCACACATGAACCAGGTCTCTAGGTCAAAGGTCAAGGTCACACTTAGAGCTCATTGAAAAATACTTGTCCGGAGCAAAACTTCCACATGTATAGAGGGATTTCAATATTACTTGGCACAAATGTTCACCATTGTGAGGCGGAGTGTCGCGCGCAAGATTCAGGTCCTTGTTGGCCAAGGTCAAGGTCACACATAGAGGTCAAAGTTCAGATAAAAAATATGAAGATGTGTATATGGACCATTTAGTCATCATTTATTGAGGGATTGTAACACAAATGGTCATTATCAAGAACTATGGCTGTGATACATATAATTTAGGTCAATATATACAAGGTCAAGGTCACTAAAGCATGATGAAATATCCAGATTTTGTCCGGAGCATATCTCCTACACGCATGGAGGGATTTTAATGAAATTTCATAGAAATGTTCACCATTATGAGAAGCCATGTCACGCACATGAACTAGGTCTCTAGGTCAAAGGTCAAGGTCACACTTAGAGCTCATTGAAAAATGCTTGTCCGGAGCAAAACTTCCACATGCATAGAGGGATTTCAATACAACTTGGCACAAATGTTCACCATTGTGAGGCGGAGTGTCGCACACAAAATTCAGGTCCCTGCAGCCAAGGTCAAGGTCACACATACAGGTCAAAGTTTAGATAAAAATATGAAGATGTGTAGAGGGAAGATTTAATCATCATTTATTGAGGGATTGTAACACAAATGGTCATTATCATGACTACGGCTGTGACACATGTACTTTAGGTCAATATATGCAAGGTCAAGGTCACTAAAAATGGTGAAATATCCAGATTTTGTCTGGAGCATATCTCCTACATGTATGGAAGAATTTTTATAATACTTTATGGAAATGTTCACCACCATGATGTGTATTGCTCCATGCATGATCCAGGTCTCCAGGTCAAAGGTCAAGGTCACACTTAGAGCTCATTGAAAAACGCTTGTCCGGAGCAAAACTTCTACATTCATAGGGGGATTTCAATATAACTTGGCACAAATGTTCACCATTGTGAGGCTGAGTGTCGCACGCAAAATTCAGATCCCTGCGACCAAAGTCAAGGTTACACATAGAGGTCAAAGTTCAGATAAAAATTTGAAGATGTGTATAGGGACCATTTATTGATGGATTGTAGCACAAATGGTAACTATCATGACTACAGGTGTGACACATTTAATTTAGGTTAATATTTGCAAGGTCAAGGTCACTGGAGATGATTAAATATCCAGATTTTGTCCGGAGCATATTTTCTACATGCATGGAGGAATTTTAATGTTGCTTTATAGAAATGTTCACCACCATGAGACGTAGTGCCCTGCACATGAACCAAGTCTCTAGGTCAAAGGTGAAGGTCACAGTTAGAGCTCATAGAAAAACACTTGTCTGGAGCAAAACTTCTACATGCATAGAGGGATTTCAATATAATTTGACACAAATGTTCATCATTGTGAGGCTGAGTGCCGTGCATAAAATTCAGGTCCCTGCGACCAAGGTCAAGGTCACACATCCTGTGCATATCTTCCCTACTGATTTGTTTTAAGGTTCATTTAACAACATAGTGCCAAGAATAAAAACTTGCTTGCTAGATAACACTTATCCATAATGCCCCCATCAACATCTAAAGCTTTCGTAAACGGGCGTATTTTGTGACTATGGCACCCTTGTTATGCCCCCACAAAGTGGGAGCATATAGCGTTGCACTTGTCCGTCCGTCCGTCCGTACGTCTGTCCGTCAGTACGTCCCAAAATCTTGTGAACGCAACTCCTCTTAAACCGGATGGCAGATTTTGCTTAAACTTTCAGGGATGAACAACTTTAATGTGTAGATGGTAGTAAAGGAAGGAATTTTTGCTGCGACCAAATTTAACAGAATTATGGCCCTTTGTTGATTTTTTCACAATATACCATATAGAAATTTTGTGAACGCAACTCCTCTTAAACCAAATGGCAGATTTTGCTTAAACTTCCAGGGATGAACAACCTTTATGTGTAGATTGTAGTAAAGGAAGGAATTTTTGCTGCGACCAAATTTAACAGAATTATGGCCCTTTGTTGATTTTTTCACAATATACCATATAGAAATTTTGTGAACGCAACTCCTCTTAAACCAAATGGCAGATTTTTCTTAAACTTCCAGGGATGAATAACCTTAATGTGTAGATGGAGAAAAGGAAGGAATTTTTGCTGCGACCAAATTTAACAGAATTATGGCCCTTTGTTGATTTTTTCACTATATACCATATAGAAATTTTGTGAACGCAACTCCTCTTAAACCGAATGGCAGATTTTGCTTAAACTTCCAGGGATGAACAACCTTAATGTGTAGATTGTAGTAAAGGAAGGAATTTTTGCTGCGACCAAATTTAACAGAATTATGACCCTTTGTTGATTTTTTCACTATATACCATATACATGTTGTCAGTGGGGGCATCCCTGTCCTTTGGACACAGTTCTAGTTTTTTATTGATTTAAGAGCATTTGATGGTAAATTGCATATAATTATATATCATAACAGTATCAGCTGCGTACATGTGCTACATAACCTTTCTTTTGTAATGTATGTTTATTATTTATAAAATTGTTTTTCTTCCTTCAGAAAATTGGTGACACCAATAAATTAGCAGACAAAAATTACTCTAACTTACAAAGAGAGAGTCAAAGACTTGAGGCAAAGACAAAATCATGCAGCTGGTGGATTTGGATCATGCTTGTACTTGTGACCTTGACATTTCTCTGGATGGTGGTTCTGATGCGATTGTTTCCAAAGTCATGATATTCGTCTTCTACCTTGTATACACAAACTGTGCAATATTGATGGCTTATGTTAAATCGAGAAAAGAGCTTACCAGAAATTATGTTAGATATGTAAAAACATGTTTAACGCCCGGCTACAGATTGTCCATGGACAGCCTTAAAATGACCATGGATATCCATGGATATCCATGGAAAGAGCATGGAAATACATGGATAAGTCAAGTGAATGGACAGTGTCCATACTAACAACATGGATAACATGGACAATGTCCATGAATTACATGGACAGCGTCCAGGGAATATAAAAATGTTCATGGACATAGTACAAAAAAACTATGTCTAATGTGGACATTGTCCATGGTCAACTTCATTGCTCATACTTAGAAATTTTTATTAAAAGTGATTGGATGGATATGCAAAAAAAAATCTAAGTGCCAAAACATGAAAAATGTTTAAAAAAATCATAACTGCCATTCTTCAAAAAATTATATGTTCATATTGGGTATCAAATTAATCAGCATGAAAAGAAGAAATCAAATATAGTAAGATCAAGTAGATTTTTTTTTATTAATTTTTTTTTTTAAATTCCAAACTTAAGTTAAATGATAATATAGAAAAATATACTGTACCCTTATGCATACCATTTCAATTATATAAAAAGATAATCTAGTCTAAATACTTGCAGACTTGTTTAGGTTTGTTTGTTTCTGTTTTTGTTGTTCATTATCATATATTACCCTAATAAAGTTAGAAAAATAAATGCACAATTAATAGAAACAATTAAAATCTAAGAACAAATGTAATTGTTATGCACTTATATTTATTTATTAATTGATGATAAATTAATTATTATTATGTATCTCTATTGAAGTATATATAATTTATATATTCATTCATCCTGTGTAGATGTACTTATGTATAATGATTAATTTCTGGAACATTCAAATTAGCATCAGCCACAATGTAAATATTTTATGACCCCTCAAGTGGAACCTGCTGTTTTCATAACTACCAATGTTAAACTCACCTATCTGATATAGAGAGAATAGAAAGAGGTAAAGCCAGGTTAACAACATACTATATTACACTGTAGCTCCCAAGTAACTTAATACCCTTGCAGAACAAATCACAGGTCAGAACACTCCTTCCAGGCGGGTCATTTGAACAGGAGCATTGAAAGATAATGTTTATTAGTGCCTAAATATACTGCTTAAAAGTTAAAACTTGAAATATTATGTTGGAGCATTGGAAATAAGACCAAATGAGTTTAAACTGGACAAATTTACAAGAGTTTTCTGGAAATATGAACTTTTAAACATGTGATATTTCATGATTCAGTTAAAATTGGAGGGAATACATGTATATAACCATTTCTAACAGTAAGTACAAATGTATTTTTATTTTTTTAACAACTTATTATTTTAGTTTTTTCAAACTTTCTTTGCAAGTATACATTGTTTAGTTATTGTATTTCTACATACATGTAACTTTTCAATATAAATAGTTAAGGAAATCTTTTTCATTTTTAAATAATGGCGGGAATTTTAAATCAGAGATTACAATTTTACATTCAAAATATTGGTGATTGATCAAGCAATGAATTTCCAAATTCACATTTAATAAAATTCATAATATGCCTTAATTGTAATTTCTTGTTACTCATGTACATATGTTTATTTTTTCAACATATTAGGTTGCAAACTTTCAAGTCTTGGAGTCACATATGAGATGTTTCAACTCAAAGGATGTCAGATGAGGGAAAAGTGATAAATGTACTGTTGAATACAGAATGCTTACAAAACCATCCTGGTAATAATTTAGTTTGTTTTGTTGAAAAAGTCGAAGTAACATGTTTTCATATAAATGCATGTTATTTTCCAAAGTCTGAACAAAATGTTGTTCTTCATGTTTTATAAATATATTAATTATTATTGTTATACTGACTCCACTGAACAAATCTCAAACTTTCAGTGGTAATTAAGTACTTGTGAAGGATTGAGTAATTTAAACTGCCATAACATAGAAGTTGTCATTATATAAATATAGGAAAAGCAGGGAAATAATTGACACAAGTTTATCATAATGTTGATTTTGACCAAAAAATGAATCATTTTCATCAAAGCATGGTGTTTACTTGATAACTCTGTGCTGATATTCTGCAAAAATCATTTAATTGAAAGTTTTCCATCTTAACTTTTTTTACCCTTTCATGTTTTTTATCAATCATGTTTTAACAATACTAATTATGTTGTAAAGGGCAACCTCGTTAATACAAATGGTGTTATGTTATGAATTAAGCTCAAAAATGCTACATATGATGTCAGTTCTAAAATTGATAACAAAGAATCCAAAAGAACTGAAAATGCCAATATTACATTTCAGGACCAACTGCAAAGCAAGGTTATTGGCATAACCACCTACAATAAGATGGTCATTGTTCTATTCCGCTTTTTGTATAAAGAGGAGGAATATGCCGGAAAATCATTGACAGGGAAAGCATCCAAAAGTGGCGAAAAAAGGCCACCTGTTGACCAAAAAAGTTGACAGGAATTTACGGTCAGTGTTTCTTTTTTTTTTTGTTTTTTGGTTATTTAAATTTCATTGAAAGTTTTTGAATTTCATTGGAAGTTTTTTAACAGGGATTGAAATTTTTTTTCAATAGCAATCGTCTTGCAGGACTTTTAAGTGTCTTCAAATTGCTACTCGTCCATGTAGATAATTTAAATTGTTAATTATTCAAGGGTTAAGTATATTACATTGATTTGTCAAGTCAATATTTATATAATTTGTTATGTTCTTTACAGATATCATCAAAAGGAATTTTCCGCATGTCACACCAGTGATGGTCAGGGAAAAGCTGCGTGACATTGTCAAGCCATCTCGTGCCAACAAAACAGTTGAAAACAATAAATATGTGTACAAAATAAACTGTGGCCGTTTTAGCCATTCAGAACAATATAAATGAGAACATTTGAGAACTTGTTTTACTTCATATATGGTGTAAATAAATCTTTAATGTGTCATAATTTTACAGCCTTGTCAATTCAAAATCATTGTTACACTAGTGCAACTCCCAAGTGAAAAGATTATGTGGGACCTTTTTTTTACAGACTTTTAAAACAGGTATCTCAACACAAGTGTGATATCATGGACATTGACCATGGATGTCATAAAAAGATTCCTCAAAATTGGTTTTGAACATGGATAGAATGGGACATTGTCCATAGAAAGAATGGACATTGTCCATGGAAAGAATGGACATTGTCCATTGGTAAGACATGGAGCATTGTCCATGGTAAGAATGGACATTGTCCATGGTAAGAATGGACATTGTCCATGGACATCATGGACATTGTCCATGGGTATCATGGACAATGGACATGGTAAGCATGGACATGGATAGCATGGACACTGTCCAGGGATATAAAGAATTGTCCATGGACAAGTGTTTCAATACTCCATGGACACTGTCCATGCTTATATCCATGGAAATCCATGGACATTCTGTAGCCGTGGGTTATTCTGGATTTTATGCGGAGGTCAAAATAATTTACTTTGCTGATTAAGCAATTGTTATTACCGTTATGTTTTGTGATATTGTTTTGGTAATTAACTTATGAAGATAAATATTCAGCTTTTGACTAGACATGTTAGGGGTTATTCAGATTTGCAGATGGCTGCATTCTGTTATGATACTTGAAGACAAATATATCATTTAAATTGACTGTAGCCTTATTTGTTATAGATCACAATGTTATTCCTTTTTTGAAACAATAATATCAGATTTGTGTATGACATAATATTGGAGTGTATTATTCCTTTGATCCAACCTGTATGCTGTTATAGTACTGCATGTTAGAAGTGTTAATTTTTATTGGACAATTGTGACATCTGTATTTCTTATAAACATGGCTGCTATAATTTTGTGAGTAAATATAAAAGCAACTATGCAGTATTTAAAATTTATTATAAAAACTTTTGACAGATAATATGTCCTTGTTTAAAAGATTGATTGCAATATTATCCTCCCATAGCATCTTTAGTCATATAAGCTTACAACCATTTATATTAGACTATTTAATCAGTCAAAAGTCATTATAACTAATTATATGAATAAACATTGTGTTATTTAGTAATAAGGTAAAGGAAGGATGAAATGTTGACGAATTAGGGTTTTTTGATTAGTTAAAACATTTAATTTAGAACAATCATGATCAAGCCTTGCATTTCACTTCTTTGAACATTCTATTAAATGTGTCATACAAGGAAACCTGGTCATTACCGTAGTAGGTTGAATCCATTATCTTTTTGTTTAGAGTCAGAGTCCTTAATTACTGCTGCTTGTTTTGTACTGGTCACTGATTTGTTTTTCATTGTCTACATACTTTAATGGATTTTGGATTTGGCTGACTTTGAATTTGGGATGTAAGGGTTCAAAATCAAAGCATAAAAATTGAGCTACTAAGATAAGAGCCTGGTCTGACTGCATGGATGTGCAAGCTGGCCTGGTTAAAGGTTAAATACATTGTATCGTGGTAACCATGGTCACAGCAGGATAAGGTTAAAATATGTGATTCCCCCCCCCCATTTTAATTGACTTACAGCTAGCTAAAGAATTAAAGAGTCACACCAGAAATTAATTGACATATTTAAATTTGTATCATAGTTAAAATGCTTCATGTGGATGAGGTGGCACTGTGGCTTAGTGATTAAGGTTGATGACCAACTTTAAACAACTTGCCCCTCACAAACACTGCTGTGAATTCCACAAAGAGACTTGAATCTCATGTGATGAAGTTATCTTGCTAGCATACAAAATGGTGGTGGTTCTACTCATTGTCCACTCATGCCTGAAATGAT